TGTGTGTGTGTGTGTGTGTGTGTGTGTGTGTGTGTGTGTGTGTGTGTGTGCAGATGTGTGTGTGTGCAGATGTGTGTGCAGATGTGTATGTGTGGCCTCAAATATTTCTAAATGAAAAACTAAAAATACTACTCAGGAATATAAAGAGAGCTGCATTGTTGCAGGACAGTTTGTCTCTGCCTGCCACAGTTTGAGGGAATCAAACTGAGCTGATACACCACATTCTAAAGAGTTTGTTTATAACTGTTTGTGTTTATTTGTGTATAGATGTTGCAACTTAGAGCTTTGGTGAGTGAGTGATGAGTGAGAGGGAGAGGGACTGCCCTTTACAAGTAGCTGTTGCTGACAATAAATAATGTTATTATGAATACATTTGCCTCCGAGCCCTGCATGAACTGTACATAGACTGTATTTTAACATTGGTCATATGGTGGTACTTGGAGAGCCAACTATTTTCTCAGGTGGTACTTCGTGTAAAAAGGTTGAGAGCCACTGCTCTAGACTTAACGAGCTGCGCAATACACACTAATGTTAAAATCTGAAGAAGGCCTCTTTACCAAGCTCCAAACTAAGTTAAATATCTCAACAAGTGTAAAAGATATCAAATCTGAATACGATTGTAATAGCTGAATGTCTTGTGATCATTCTAAAGTTGGAATGAAGTCTCTAGCTGAAAGTATGTGGAAGGAGTAGCATTTGGCGCAAGGTGTAGGTAAAAGAGGATTTGAAGGTTCCTCCCATTGAGTTCCATGTTAAAAAAAGAGTTTAAAACGCTGAATATTTTAAAAAATATAAAATATTTTGAAAAAGTTGAAAGTTTCCCATCATGTGCTGCAAAGGCTGAATAGTTTGATATTTGAATGGTTTCTGTAGCTGAAAGTATGCTGAAGTTATTCGACAGCAAAATATTGGTTGAAATAAGAAGAAGAAGATTAAAGAGAAACAGAAGAACTATAGTGGAATGCTACTCAATATGACACTTGTCGTCACTTAAATTTACCTGCAGGATATTTTCTTCCGCCCCATTAAAGAGGAAGACAACTCCATGAAGAAGAGGAGTAGACTGGTTGGCCAGAGAATGGAGGACCTCGAGCATCACTGCACAGCTCACTGCATCATCACTGGCACCTAAGACATGAAACCAGTGAGTGTTTGTCAAAAATACAAAAAATAAACCCTGCTTTTTCTTGTCTTTCACATTTGCATCAGGCAACAGAAGCTTGGCACCTGTTTACAAAGATCACCCAACTTTCCAAAACTCTGTGGCTCAGTCTGAGATTAAAACACATGGAGGAGATAGAGCTGATGTGTATTAAAATATCACAAACACATGAGAATGAAGGCTGAGTGCCAACATGTGAAGAATGTGACTAGCTGCTATAAACCCGGTGGATAACGGTGAGAGCACAACGGAGAAGGGGGTAACACTGAGAAGAAAAGAGCATGTGAACAGGGCATGTGACGCGATAAGATTACACAGGTTGGTGGTGACGAGGAACACAATTGACTGAGGATAAAAGGGAGCAAGAATGCCCAAAGATCAGAGAGCCACACTCAGACATCATGTGCTCCAGCTTTCTGGATCGACTGTGTTCACGAGGTTCAGACCAGAGCCTGCTCACTGTCTGTCTGCGTACCATTCATGCTCCTGTCGCTGCCACTTATGTCAGCATCATATTAAACCTTGTCCCCCAAAACAATCTCTGAGAGGTTAGAAAATGGGGATCACATAGAAAGCCTGAAGAGTTCCCCTGTGCCCGTGCATAATGTTAAGTAAAACAAAAGTGGGGGGAAAAAAGTGGAAGACAATGCATTATCTGTTCTTTTATTTTTTTCCCCCCTTTTTATTTTTAGCAAGAATAATTGTGGAATAGCCTCTGAACTGAGATACGGGATTGTCCCACTCTCAATAGCTTCAAAGGTCAACTCAAAGAATGGATGAGAAACACACAGACGTGCAATCACCGCTAAATGCACTTTAACACAGGGGTATCTCCTCTTGCACTTTATGTAGCTCTTGTACCTCCTCTTGCACTTTATATGTCGTAGCTGCTACATTGTATTACCATGGCATAAATACTTGTGTATGCTGCTCTTGCTTTCTTGCACTTTTTGCATAACATGTATTTTGTTTTTACAATGTTTGTAAAATGCAAATTTCTTAAATGTTTTTATGTGAGGGACTGCGGATGGAAATGAGCTGAAACCTAAATCTGGCACTGTTACGCTTGACACATTTTAATGTTTTAAGTGTTCATCACTGTGCATTGTCCCTGCCAAATAAACTATTAAATAAAATGATCTACAGGTCCCAGATATCAAAGACCTGACAGGCAGCATTTGGACAATATAATCTATGTGTGCCTTCCTGGTCCACACCTCTTGGATCTACTTCCTTTTGCTCCCGTAGCTGTGTGTGCTCATGTGTATGTGTATTTAAGGGGAAAATATGTCTCTCCAACAGGCACAAGGGCGTGGTGTGCAACTCTGAAAGTTCTCGAATTTAGACTATTAAATCATGCCAGCATACCACAATGTGCAATCTATCATCAACACACAAGGTTATTACTGTGCAGCGTCAATTTGATGAAGGCCATTTGCATGCCCTGATATCCAAATGATGTGGATTGGTTGAATTTCACACGGTGTGGTCCACATGACTACTTTGCAAACCATAGGGCACAAATGAGGGCATTTTTATCATAAAACACATTGAGACCTGGAGACTTATGGCTTTTGCACACTGTAAGAAAAAAGCTGCACTTCCTCAGCCATGCTAGCAGCTCTGTAAGGCTGAATATATAGCTATATTATCATACTAGCATGCTAACCATAACATTGCTAGCATGTTGATATTAGGAAATAAATTATGTTTAACATATCCCCTGTTTTTTTAAACTTAAGTTCTGCTAATAATCTAAACATAAAGTAGAGTGAAGTTTCAGAGGTTGCTTTTCACAGTTTATCCTCTGGGCACCATGAATGCCTGATCCAAATGTCTTGACAAACCACCACGTAGTTATCAAAATATTTCACTGTGAGAACCTTGTGAGAAAAGAAAAAGCACAGGGGATTCCCAAAATCAGTGTGCTTCAACATCCCCTAGAGCTGCTAGCTTGGCTTTAAATAAATATTTGTAATAAATACCAAGGAATAGACTATACAAGGCAGTATCAGAACATGACAAAGCAATATAACCTAAAAGCAGACACAACAGGTTCAAATTGTAGATATGCAAGATGGCCCTTAAGGAACAGAAAGTTGTAGAAGTTTAAATCAATTAAAAAAGATAGTTATGATCAAATATAAAAGGTGTTGTTGTTCAAATGTATATTCACTTGTATTTACTGAGAGATTGATATTAAGTCCTTTCTTTTCTGGGAATTCAGGTTTGAAAAGAGGTGAGAATGGATTCTGCATGTTCTTACATGCAAACTGAGTGCTAACACTATTCACCTGAGGCTAAAACACTTGAATTGAGCTCAGTTCTCAGTAGGCAGGATCCTAAAGTATAGGAGGAACGTTTTTGTACCTGGACTGTTGGCCACTGTGTCAAAGTGGCAGTTGGCGAGCATGAAATGCTGCGACCCGGATTTAGGCTCCAGCCGGACAGCAATGTTGGTGACACGGTCATAGAAGCTGGTGAAGCCTCCCAGAAAGTCAATGGAGAAAGTGCCGGTGGGACGCTGCACATCTACCGTGATTTTATGGGGGCCCGCTGCGGTCTCAACCCGGATGTTCTCGATCTGCTCCAACAGGTAGCCCACTGTCAGGACTTCGTTCTCATGGCTGCCCACTGGCCGAGGGCCCACGCTGGTGATCTTCTCCAAGTGCTGTCTAAATTTGGAGGAGAGAGAAAGAGGATATTCTGATGCTTTTTAAGGAGGAGGACCAAGCCTATTTGCTCCATCACCACATTACAGCATATCAAATTAATATCCTGCATTTCAATGTTACTGTTAAAGTGAATCATTGCATCTTTGTACAAGAGCAGAGTCCATAGCTCTCTTTTTAAAACCACCTTGAGGTTACAAATCTTAAACTAAATATGTTTCCTGAAGATATTGATGTGCTTGCTGACTTGCATGCACACACAGTTTGTGGCATTTACAGTACAGTGTGTTCCAAAGAATAAACCTTTTCTAAATATTACAGATGCACCCTACAGGAGAGTGCTACTGCTTTCTTGACAATTAAATGATGAAGTGAATCCAGATATCTTTACCAACTCTGGTGTGGTCTTGAATAGGAGCTTAGGGGGACGATTATGCACGTTTCATTTTCATTTATGTCAGACAATTAAAAGGCAATGATGCCTATAAGTATGTGTGTTAGTCCTTGGTCAGAAAAGATTCATATCAACTTGTTACATTACATTATATGTTACTTGTTAGACGCTTTTATCCAAAGCGACTTACATACTCAATACTGTGGGCAATCCCCACAGGAGCAATTTGGGGTGAAGTATCTTGCCCAGGGACACAACCACATGCTGACTGCAGTGGGGTTTGAACCTGTGACCCCCTGATCCCAACACCAAGGCTCTATCCACTGCGCCACACGCCTCCCTTTCCTCCCTGTTCCATGAACACACTGTTTTCAAGGAATATACAAGTTAAAAGCTTAGATGACATCCCTTATTTACAGAGCGACCTGGAAGATCCAACAGAAGACACCATAACAAAATAATGTTTTGACATCAAACAGGGTGTAACCTGCCTCTGTTATGCTAGCAGAGTCCTGAGTCCGGACCCAGCCAGGCACAGCATTCCATGTTTCTGTAACACTGTGACCTGATCTACCTCATCCCCACACAGACTATTAGATGGAAGCAGGATATGAAGCTACGGAACCCATAAGGTAATTTAAAACTGATGTTTTCTTTAAGAAGCAGCTGCTGCTGGGGTTTGCTGCAGCTCTTCTACAAATGCCATGCCATGTATTTGATCCCAAGCATAGATCAAACACAGCATGTTGGCTTTTGGTTTGGTATTTCTTCCAAAGTCCACCCTTAAATGGATTCCTCTTGTAATGACAAAATGGTACTAAATGATAATGATGATATCTGAAGTGCTGTTTCATTTCATTCTTACAGCAGCGTTTAAGGCATTGTTTTAGGCTTAGGCTCATCATTTAAATCTGGATTGGAAGAGGATAGACTCATGACAGCCATGATTGTGACCAAAGAAGCTCAGAGCCCTAATCAGTTCAATGCAGCATGCTCCACTGGTTTATAGAGCAACCAGCCAAATTATTGCAAATCCCGTCGCCCAAGCACTTTCAAGAGCTCAACTGCAGCCCTGCGGACCTCAGATTCAGCATAATCCCCGCCTCTCTTCTCACAGGGACGGAAAATCTGATCAAAGCTGCTGCACTGTAAATCTGAAGAGCTCTTTAATCTGAAAATGCTGCAGCTACTTGGAATTAACCAGAGTCATAAAGCTTTCTGGAGTTGTGCAGTAAGATTTCTATATTGAATTAATCTTTATAATATTTCTTTGTTCAGATTTCTGTGCCATAAAATGTCAGAAATTCCAACTTATAACAGGTTAAAAGTTCCCCTTTTTCTCACCATGCCTAAAGCTTAATTTAATTGACTGTACACAATGTTTCATTTTCAAAGGACCCACAACCCGGAGATATTCATGATACAATAACATCCAAGAGAAATTGCTCACAAATATTTGACAAATTATTGATATTAACCTTAACAATTATAACAACATTTTTAAAAATTTGAAATATTTTGGTTTTTTGAAGGATTCATCTAATAAAGAAGTATTTAGAGTATTTTTTTTAATTGAAAGACATAGGTAATTTTTTAACTGCTTGTGGTAAAGAAGGTGTTTTAAGTCAAATGTGTTACCTTACCTGCAAAATCTACTATCCGAGCTTGATATTCCATGTTTGGAATTTGAGTCAGTGTGTAAAATAACTAAGTATATTTACTGAAGTACTGTACTTAAGTACAAATTAGTCAGAGACTACATGTTGTGATACTTTGTACTTCTACCCCACTTTAATTCAGAGGTAAATAGTGTCCTTTTACTGCACGACATTTATGTAATATCTTTAGTTACTTTGCAGAAGACTTTAGTTACACCTCGAGTTACATTCTACAATGCAGCATACAACGTAATTACAACTAGCTACACCTTTAACAGCTTTGATAAACACATACATGCATCAGTAATTCTAATAAAATTATAAAATAAATATTATTCTGAAATGGGCCAATGTGCATAATGAGTACTTTTGGTATTTGAAGTTTATTTGTATGCCAATACACTTGTACTTTTACTTGAGTAACATTTTTGAATGCAGGACTAGTTGTAACAGTTAACCTCAAAATGTTACTTTTCCTTAAGTACAAGTTCTGAGTGTTTCTTCCACCTCTGCGTTGAGGTAATGGAATCATATTATTATTATATCTCAGCGTCTTTTAACACACTTTGTGCAGGATATTTTTGATTCATATTGTTTAGGCTACTACTTTCCTAGAAGCTGTTGCAGCTCTTATCTCCCGGGCCAACAGTAGCCGTTAGAAACCGTTGAAACACCTGTCTGCCCTGCAGGTTACCTTGGATGTAAAAGGTGGAGGTGAAGGGGACACCCGGTAGTGGTTTCTAGGCGGGTCTAGTAGAAAGATTAGCTGGGACTCTGCTGCTTAGAGACCGTTAGCCAACATGTGAAGACAAAGGGGTATTTACACTAAGCAAGGTACACAACTCACCTTGCTCTCACTGCGTTGAAGTCTCCGCTCGGCTTGCCAATGACGAGCTGCTGTAACGACAAATGAACGAGTCCCCACAGCACCAAAATAAACACAGAGACCAGGGAAGCTGCCAGTCCTTCCCGCAGCAAATATAGGCTCACTTCGGGCTTCTTCTTCGGGTCACCGTTGTAGCCGTTATCCACGCCCCGGTCCCGAGAGCCGTCGTTATCTTGCGCTACATAATTCTGTGTCCCGAAGGGTTTTATTCTCCTGAAAGTGGTGTCGCTCTCCATTTTTGAGCCAGCGGTACATCAGCTGCAAGCGTCGCTCTCAGGCGTCGCTTTTTTTCTTTCTGGACGAACGACGGAACGCGCTGAGGGATAAACCTCCTGAGAGGGCGGGCGGTCGAAGGCGGTTAGAAAATGAAAAGGCAGAGGAGGAGAACATATTTAACATACTAAAATTGTTATCTCTCTCACTTGAGTATAAAACGGGATAACTGGTTTTATACTTTAAAACATTATTCAAAACCTATATTATTAGCTATCAATTATTGTGTAGACATTTAAAAAAAATGCATTCATCATTCGTAAATCATATATATTCTCCTTAGTTAGAGTTAGTTAAAGATATCAATATAATATCACTCTCTCAGCGTACAATAGTTATGATCTTATAATAATCTTCCCAAAAAGCAAATGTGTATTCCCAAAATGCCAAACTGCTCCTTTAACATGAACTCAATGAACCCTGATCCCCCCCTTGTAAAAGTTCCCTGATGCAATCCAACCAGAAAGGCCTGACACACACTATCAGATACACACACACAAACACACACACACACACACACACACACACACACACACACACACACACACACACACACACACACACACACACACACACTTTTTTTTTCATTACAAGGAATTCGCCTCGGAGTTTGGTGCATACAATATTACAATTAAATATAGTAAAATAGTTTTTACAATGAGAACTGTGCAGTTTTGTGCAACCATATCCAAAATGATGCCAATGGAATGTGCAAAAGTTCACAGTAAGCTATACCTAATAATATTACCAACACAATAACCAACTTTTTCTTTTTTAAAGACGAAAATCCAGGCTATGGGGACATTACAAACACATTTTACAATTAGACTTTATAAAAAAGATTTGCTTAACTTTTACAAGGCAATTTATTTAGCTCTTAGAAAAAATAGAACACAACATTATTTACTTATTTATGTATTTGGCATCTAGTAATATCCCTGCTGGCTGAACTGAGATTATGATGTAATTTGATTGATGTTACACTGGGAGTATGCCGATTTGGTGTTACTTTGTCGTCATCGTGTGGACGAGATGAGAAAAACAGACGAGGTGTTCTTGCTGTATAATTCAACACTGCAGTTCAATCCTTAGTCATTGCCCAGTGCACACTGACTTCTTTCCTGTAATGCTACCACTTTTTTGTGTGTTTATACTTCCAAGCAAAACATATGTATCTATCAATTAACATAATCGAATGATATATTTCATTATCTTCAGTTATTTATAGGAACTTTACATGGAGGTGTTATATTGTTGTTTCATTGATATTGATGCAATAACACGTAGTGCTTTAATATTGTAGTTCATGTGGAAGTTGGATTGCTATTTAAAGTGATGTGTAGTTAAAAGGTATATCAGAAGTTTTCCATGTGAAACCTTCTAAATTAATATGCAAAGTAATAAGTAGCCTATCTATATGCAACAAATGTGGTGTAGTAATGAGTACAACATGTGTAGCCTATAGCCTAAAATGGAAACAATCACAATAATAAATATAAATACTTCACAAAACCGATTTAACATATTACTGTTAACACTCAGATACACAGGCCACATTAATTAAGACATTGTTTGTTAAAGGGATGAATGTCTGAATAAAGTAAAGGCCAATAAACATATTAAAATCATAGGCCTTTAGTGTCTTTGTTTTTCTATGTCCTCGGTACTTTTCCATTAGACGCCCTCATGTAAATACTATACCCGCTAGCCTGTCGGCAGCTAACACAGATAGCAGAAATGCTATTTGTTTTCAATATTCAGGAAGGACGAGTAGTTAGTTTTGATATTACAATTAACTGTACTTTATAGAACATATATTGTTTAGTGGTGGGACTCTAGATATTATCCGGCGTTTTATATGTTATTTTATCAACGTGAAGTAACAGTCATTTAAACTATGATGTGCAACGCTTAGCATTTATGCTTAGCATTAGCTTGTTAGCAGGGGTGTGAAGCTAGCTCAGTTGAGGGTTAGCTGTCAACATGGCTTCCTCTTTCAAAACAAGGTTCTGGAATATGATATTAAAGATAATGTCTTTCATTCCAACCATATATACAGTCTATGGTTCCAACCATAGCCTATTTCTTGTTGCCAGGGGACACTTTATTGTAAAATAATTTGTGGTCAACAGAACAGAATGGTGTCTGCTCACCTAAAATGCATCAAATAAATGCAGGGAGCAATAACACCCCCTTGTTATATGTTAACAACGATTATCTATCTATCTATATGTATATTGTGCAAATATATTCCAAATGTTGTGAATAATGTTCTAAATTCATAATTTATATCGTTCTGTTGGGAAATAAAATTATCTAAACAATTAAACAGAAATTATCCTAATGTGAAATATGAAAATGCTAAAATAAATGACTACCTTTTCATGAAAAATGTATTGTGGACAAGGACCTCAAATGTTAACTACATTCCAGAGAAATTGCAATACAAATGGTACATTATTTATAAAACACAGTATATTGAAAGCATGAAAGCTGTCAGCCATTATATTTGTCAAACAAACAGATTTCTTGTCTTATTATGGTTCAATTATATTGAGTATTTGCTGGTCTTAATGTAGCGAGAGGCACGCACAGATGATGCAATTTGTAAGTCAATATTGTTTGTTAAATCTGCAATACAAATGTTGCTAAAGATGTGATTGCTTTAACTGTGCATGAGCAAATAAAAACATTTTTGATGACTTGTATTTTGAAGGGGAAGAAAACAACCTGACGGAAACGTATGACTTTTATTTTGGGTGACTTGACTGCAGTTATCTCTACCAGCTTTCGACTCTGACCGATCATTAGCTAGCCAAACATTGCAGAGAGCAGTCAGCCCGTCGTGTCTCTACCCGAGGCCGGATGGTAAAATCCAACCTCCAGCGGATCCTAAACAGTCATTGCTTTGCTCGCGAGAAAGAAGGAAAACAACAGTCTTTATCTACCATGGCGGATTTAAGTAACGGTATCTGTGACATGATTGGGAAGTAAGTAAACGATTAAAAACACCAAACCTAGCTAACGGCTAACCGTGATGTGTGGGGGAGGGGTGGCTAAGCTAAGCTAGGAGCCACGGAAAAGCGGAAGTAAAACGCGTTTAACTTTAAATGTATTGTTTACACTGTGTATCACCAATGTCACATCGTTACATCAGGTGACAGCTTCCGTTATAATGTTTTAAAAATTGTCATGGTGAAATAAGCGACGGATATTAATTTGCTATATTAACAACCTTAGCTAACGTTAGCCAATGAACCTCGTTGAAATGGTAACGTTACATCACTGGAGTTAGGTCCGTCACCTAGCTCAATTATGATGCTTCAACAGTTTCCGATTATTATTTTGATACGGAGAAAGTAAACAAATGTAATTTGCCGTTTATACAAGGGAATTATACTTACGTGTTTCAATTACTTTCACGTTAGCCAATTTAAAGACCAAACAGACTTCCATGTATATTAAATACACTGACAGTTTACGGTCAACAAGTGGGGACGAGGGTGACTTAAACGAGTGATATTATTTATTTGTTGCCGAAAAGTGCCTGTTAAAACCATAGACTTTATTTAAGAAATTCCATCTTTGGTTAAAACGGTGTAGGGTTTCACCACATATGTATATACCTTAACTAACCCTATTATCATTGGTGATCAATAACAGGAAGACAAAAGAGAGAGGGTAAAATAACACCAGGTTAAGAATGTGCCCGTAAAGTCGTCAGGTCAGTACATATTTTTGGCCACGTTTATCTCGTGAGCTGACAAGAGCCAGGTTGCTTATTACGCAACTGACAGTTTACTGCTGCAGCTTCGTGACGGCACGACAGAGACTTAAACACGACAACATGGTGAATAATTAACATACACCAAGAGCTAATAGTTGTTAAATTAATTTTTTTACTCTTCTCTCCCATTCCTAATCTGCCTTTGCACAATAAACTGAGAGTAGATCATCAGCCAGCCACTGTGGGTGGAATTATTTACAGAAGGCCTTAGAAAGCAATTATTCGACCGGTTAACGATTTAGGTCTATGGTGTATTGACCAAGAGTTATCTAAAATATTTTTTTGCAACTCCGCTAATACAATAAGCCACACTTTCAGACTAAAGGCAAGACAAATGACCTGACTCCTAAGGGACAGCTGTTAAAATACTCTATTACATTTGAGAAATTATGAGTCAGTATATTGATTTCTCAATCGACAGATGATGTATTTGCAACACAAATCATAATACAATATATACTTATATTTCCCATTTATCCTAATAAATAAAATTGTCCACGGTGGTTCAAATGTATTGATTGGGTGTATTTGTTCGTCATATATGATGGTAAACTGATGGCCAATTTCACTATTTTTTGACATTAGACAAATGCATTTTCAATATTAATAACTAACAAATCAATCAATAAAGGTAATGATCAGTTGCAACCCTAATATAAATAGCTAATGAGACAAGCTTATATTTGTATGATATTTGCATGGCTTTGTCAGTAGCTCTTATATGCTGTGTACAAGGTCACTCACAAGATAAGGTTTGTTTACCCAACAGGTTGTGCGGTTGCACGGCATCCTGCTGTGTTAGTGCACCCTTTAAAATCGTTCTGTTAACAACTCAGTAAACACAGTGCCATTGTTTTGGGGAACATAAACTGTAAGCCTTTTGAAAGAACACTTAGGCCTGCTTATATTACACATGTTGTGGATTGAGCACTTATGTATGAATGTGCATCATATTTGTGAAATGATATTGCTAATTCTTCCTGGAACACAAGGACAATTTTGGTCAAGGTCTAAATTTGTTTGTGTTGAGTCACTTCCACGACATGTCTTTGGGGTTGTAGTTTATAAATCCAAATGATGTGCACATACTAACACATGTTGATATACAGAAAAAACTCTTATTGCAAGTCCTTAACCGTGTTTGATTATCTCCTCCTCTGTCCTCCCCTGCAGTTTGTCCCTGCACTGTAGTAGTAGTACCCGCGGCCTGGGGCCTCAGTGGTGCTCCTGATGCCCCTCTCCCACCCCTGAAGATCCCAGGTGGGCGAGGGAATGGCACACGGGATCACACTCGGCCACTCCACTCTGTAAGTCTACACAGCATACAAACACACGCATGCAGACGCTCAGCAGTCAAACATCACTGAATTTCCTTTCCCGTAAAAGTTCAATGTATTAGCTTTAGTTGCTCCGCTTGATCAGCATTACAGACAGCATAAAAAGGCCATTTTCATGCTAGTTATATTATAATTGGACATGAAATATAACACACATGTCACCCACTGCTGTTATGACATGTGGTAACTAGTGTTTGTGTTTCTAGGATCGAAAGCTGACTGTAACGGAGGAACCAGCAGGGAATGGTCGCCCTGGGATCCTCCACTTCCAAAGTCGTCCCACCGTTACCAAGACGATACAGTGGGATGCTGTCTTGAGCAGCAGCGCACTTTACGTGGAGATACCTCTTGACCCTCTTCCTGAAGGCAGCAAGGAGAGGTGAGGCTACACAGTTAGCAGCAGGAGAAACCTCGAGTGGAATACACCAATTTTTATAATGGCACACTTTAGTCATATTAGGAGTAAAACACGAATACATTTCATATAAGTTTGTTTAACGGAAAGTGATCTGATCCTGGCAGCATGAACATAATCAAGCCTTTATCGATGTTTAGCCTGATTTTACAGAATCAGGGAGGCCCTCTTTTCAATCGTCAAGGGAAGCCTAAGCAGAGCCTTTTTAAAATGATCATTTTTTGGTGCTTTATGTTCTGAGGTTGTTTCCCATTTCTAACCTAAAGCCTCTTTCTGTTCTCCTTCCAGTTTTGCAGCTCTACTGGAGTATGCTGAAGAACATCTGAAAGTCGTTAGCGTGTTTGTCTGCTTTTACAAGAAAAGAGACGATCGTGGTAAGTGCTAACAACCCTGTTTTCCCCAGCCCACCTTCTTTCCTTCAGAATAACTTTAATAACATCATTATTTTTGGCTTCTGTGATGTGACTTTTACTGCAGCCTAAAACCTGTTGTGCCTGCCTTGTTCTTGCAGCTAAACTGGTGCGTACATTCAGTTTCCTGGGCTTTGAGATTGTGAAACCGGGCCATGCCCTTGTCCCACCTCGACCCGACGTATTCTTCATGGCCTACAACTTTGACCGGGACTCTTCGGATGAGGAGTAGCCCACTGGACAGCCCCTCCCCTCCCCTACTTCCCTTTTCCCTCCCATTGTATGTTTGTCCATCCCGTCCCAGCTTACTCATATAAAGCACCGTCTGTGTTAAACCCTCTGCAGTAGCTCTGTATGCAAGTATACATTTCCCCCATGCTTGTTGTGTTCAAGGGAATATGTAAGATGTGCATCTCCTTTTTCCACCATCTATCTCTGTGTTTTTATTATACTCTTTTCACATTGAAGATTAATTGGTGTTGTCACCTTAAAAGGAGGGAACCTTTGTTTTGTTCAATCATATTGCAGTTGTCATAGCTATAAGTTCTGGTATATTTTCCATTTATTGTCAAGTCTTTGTTTTTATTGATATTTCCTTTTTATGATAGATTAAGGTGGAGGATTCTTCAGTTCTTGAATGTTCAATAAAAAGGTCATCAGGTTTACACTCGGGTACTCCAGCTTTCTTTTGATTGGCTAAACAATGGCTTTGGATTTGTCTCTCATTTTCTTTCTCTCTGAATGAAATAACACTCATTTCAGTGGGATCAGTTTTATTATGTAGCACTAACATTCTCTTGAAAGTATTCGGATTTTTTCAAACGTTACTTTTTAATGACGGCCCCAATAATTGGTACTTCATAGCTGGATAGTGAATGCATTTAGATTAGAGGCAGAGTGAAAAGATGAATGCTGTTGCATGTGTCTGATGTAGGCGATTCAGTTTCACAGTAAAGATCCTACGTCGAGTGTATTGGTACAACATGAAAGGAATAATCCAAAGTGCTTTCGCTTCTTTCGGCCATGTTTATCTTTATGATTTATTATTTTGTTTTGGAGGCTGAAACAATGCTGTGATGTTATGAATAGTTATTTGTCTTTTTATTAGCATTCCTTTTTACAACTTTGTTTCTCAAGATAGTATTGAGTTTGTTGTTCAGCATAGTGGTACCTGTTGTGCTTCTGTGAAAATAAAACAAACAAAACAAACAATCCATTGTGTACTTTTCTGCATCTGTTCACCAACACATACATTCACTCCAATATGTATTACCTTTGGGTTAGAAGAAATACTAAACTACTTCAAATCTGGCAAAAAGGTTTTCTGACCATAACTAAATTTAAATCTAATCCTAACTAAATGTCTTACAAATTACCAGTAGGATAAAACAAAAATAAACACTATTCTACAGACTGATCTGCAGGAGCATGTTGTACACACTGAAAGATGTAAGTCTCTTCATGATAAAGAGTATGCTCTGTCCCTTCCTAAAGAGAGTTTTAAAATGCTTTGAGCTCTATCATTCCTCTAGTAGTCTATACTCAGTAAAAAAGTTTCTAAGTGAAGACAGAATGTTTCTTAATGGAAATATTCATTTAAATCATACAAGTCAATATGGTGACAACTTCCATTTCACCAAAAATACTGTACATTGAATACCTTTTAATTTCTCCAATATAAGTCCACAGATATGGGCTTGAACTGAAACATGTTGTGGATATTTTAAACTCGTCAATACTGTAAAGATGTACAATGAGAGTAATCAATAATAAACTGGTGAAAGCAAGCAGCGTTGTCTTGTTGGTTATTTATTTGAAGCTTCGAAAGCTACAGGTCTCACAGAGTACAGAGTAGTCTGCAGGAGTGTGCGCAATAGTCACAAAATAGCAAAGCTTATATACAAGATAGGGCGGGCAGACAAAGTTTTGTGTAGCAAGGCGGAACGCCTCAGAAATCCACTTTCATACGGTATCATTTCGCTATTTGGACACCTGTGTCCTTGAGCTATAGAAAGTACAACAGTCATCAAATTATGGAAGTTGAAACTTAGTGTGAAGAGGAGTAGTTTCAACATAGTATGCCAAATCAGCTCTGTGGCCTTGAAGCGCTTGAGAATAATAACCCTCAGAGTAAACAGATGAAACAGCAAATATGAAGAAATGGTACAGTAGTGTTGGACAATGCTTTTAGAAGCATTTGGTTTTTAGCATATAAGGTAACATAAGAAATTGCCACTGCAAACATCAACAAGGTGTTAATTCTAGTTATATACAAAAAAAACATATATTCAGGCCTTGAATTCAGTTGTGTAAAGCCTGGATACATTATCTGACTAATGTAACTACTGGGGGTTAATTTATATGGTATGGATGTATTTAAAAAAACAATGTAATGTATTACACAATCATCTGTGCAATATACGTTATTAATAAGCATCATTACAAACGAACAGAGGAAACTATAAAGCACATGAATACTCATACTGAAACTATTATCCAACATGACGTATTCTGTGATTGTCATTTTGCGGAAACTGAAGGAAATCGGGTCAGTTACAAAAGAGTAGGGCAGACATCCAGAGCATGTATTGAGTCTGCTCACCACCAGGGGGCTCCACAGGACTCAGGACCATTCAACTGCTGGCTTAAAGCAGCATCTGCAGTATGTATGAATGTGAGCAGTTATACAAACAGAACTGCTGCTCAACTCCCCAGGAGGCCTGAACTACAATAAGAGCTCAGGGTGAAGGACAAGTCTTATTTAATATTTCTGTATGTGTTCTGACTATGCTTGATAGATGGCGTGCCTTCCATTGCTCTGCTGCATCTTTAAACTGTTTAAATCGTTGTGATTAGATCAGTAGCCTGGTGACTTTGTTATTTCCAAAATGGCTCTTATCTTCAACCTGAGCAATCAAGAGGAACTCAAAATACCTGTGTGGGTGTGCAGGGCTTTTAATTAAGAACGAAGCAACACCTGGTGCTCTTGATTGGATTAGGTTAGGAAGGCCTGTTTTTTCTACAGTAGCCATTTTGATTTGTTGGAAAAGCACAGGTGTTGCTAATACCGTTAACGATGGCTCTACTAAATTCAAGCATCCCAGTAAGCCAGGACAGGACCATGGAACTGTAGCAGCGAAATTGGCTATCGCTTAGGATTGAAATAAAGGTAATTTGAACATGCTATTATGATGTAATTCCTTATGGCATAGTGTAGTCTTCTGTAGATCTGCTTGATTTGAAATGTTATTTTGACTACTCTCTTAAATAAATGTGGTGCTCATTTAACAGGCTAAAATGCTTTCAAATTGACTTTCTTTTACAATCATGCAAAGAAACGTGATTGTTTAAAATATCTGTAAAAACAACACACATTTATCATATGTTTTAATACAGGACAAACACAGAAGAATAATTCGTTTTTCTGGAATCCAAATATTTAATAGGTACATATCAAGTATTACTATGACATGTATAAAATTTCAGATCACAATATGAAGCAATGAATCTCCTCAGACTGGCATATGTTTGAGGTCGCCACATAAAAATGACTAATGATTAAAGTAGAAGAGAAGCAACTAAAACAGTAGAAAAATGGTGTACAGACATATATAATAGTAAGCATTCTAAGAAAATTAAATGCAACTTTTTAAACTTTTTTTTCAATAGAGTGCAATCAAAATAAAAACAACACAGCACTGAAGCCAAGCGTCCACAAGACGTCTAAAAAGTGTTAGTACTGTAGGTTCACGGAGGGCAGAGGACAACGGAGAGAGAGGAGAAGAGAAGGTCACAGGAGAGAAAGAAACCGGGGCTAAGAGCTCGCCAGTTAATGCAGGGAGAAAATAATCTTTGAACAAGATTGAGCCACAGTTGAAGTAATGCACATCACAGTTAGCTTTAAAGACCATAGTAGCATTTGTACTTGCATGTTGTTAATAGAAAAAAAATCCTGAATGATTGAACAGAAACAAGGACATCACCACAAACAGCCAGCCAATGAAAAGGGATCTGAACGTCGACAGAGCAGTAAGAAACGGATGTGTACAGCAGCATGATATTTCTCTCAGCTCTACACTAAACATGGCTCTGCCTCGAAGGCTGTTACCGGTGAGCGTGATGATATCAATGAACGAGGGCTACGTTTCCCCACAAAACCAACGACTAAGTATTCAAACCATTTTGGGTGCATTATCTGAAATTCAGCACTCCAGGGGTGTTTTTAGTTCTAGTTCCTATCAAACCTGCCAACCTGAGACATTTAAAGTACCATATCAGCAACAGAAAGGATGCTAATCTGTCAGCTGCTCAAGATAGGAATATGTATATGATGTATGCAAAATATAAGTATTGGTGTGTCAGATGGAAATGTGAAGATTCAACAATGGAGCATGTGTTCATGGCTCCATAAGAATACACTTCCATCTATCCAGTTGTTACATATTATCATGTGGTAATATGGAGCAGAAGGTAAATAAAATATGTCAATGCTGATATACGTGTTCAGTCTTGGATCATGGTAAATTAGACATGAAGATTTGTTCTGTTTTTGAGTTACACTTTGAGTGCACACTGTTTCCTGTACAACAAATTCACCTCTGTCCATCTAATGTAACCAGAAAACTCATAAATCAAATAATAAATAAACCATGCCCTGAAAAGATATTACTTTGATCTATCTGGAACCAACTGTCTGTTGCAAAAAGTGGGTCTCTGTATTTAAGTACTTAGTATCTACGTACAAAAATCACATCTGATCACTAACTCTCAAACATTTCTGTTGTTCCACTCTTTTCCCATTTTTGATTCAAATCTCTGACTCTAATTATTGTATTATTATTCAATTGTATGTTGAATGTGGATTGAAACACACTACTTACTGTAACATTCAATATTGTTTCTATAAAAAAAACACTGTGTAATGCTGTTGAAAAGCTCTCACTATTGAACATGATTAACTGATCCTTAGCCCCAGCACAGAACATAAACCCATTGATACTTTTACAAGAATGACATTTAAACTGTTAAATGTTACCTTAACACAATAACACATATTACAACTTGGCCAAAATAAAATGGTCTAAATGTAGAATTTTAAATCAGCATGGAATAAGTAAGCAACATTAGCAAACTGACCAGGCATTGAATGCAGATTTCAGTACTTAACAGTTTTAGTGTAAAAGGCACTCTTTTCCTTGTGTCTGGACTACATAACAATATATCATATTGACAATATCAGACTGGTCGCACAGTGTATTTCTGTCTATCTTACATTCTGTATACTGGGATGACTGCACATGTTGGCCTCTGAGACTCTGATGATGTGAATCTATTGATCCCTCTTTGTCAGGGAATAGAAATCCATTTTCTGCATGTAATGAGACAACAATTAACTCATATCATCCTGGCTGTGCAATCCCTAATAAGACTACGTTTGAAAAAAATTAAGCAGAAGCAGATTGAGTTGGATATCCAGAGCGCTCCAGAGATTATACTCAATCTAACAGAACAATAGCAGATGAATATCTGCTGAGCACAAAATATGCTAACCGTCTTTGTGTGAAGTCCTGGTTGATTATGGTTGCTTGGTAACAGCGGGGACAACCAGTGTGCCCTTCGAGGCGTCGTTCAAAATAACAACTGCAATGCAACTCACACTTTTAAGCTCTTCAGGTGCAAAGCCTGCTAGTCTTTGATTTCCACTATATCACGTAATGTAGAAGGACAGTTCAGTCTGAAAAAGTGCAGCTATGAATGAGAGTACATTATATAAATGTCTTAATATAAATGTTTAATGCATCATTTCAATAGTGTAGAGGTTTCAACAGCTCTTATGAGAGAGATGTAGTAACATGTTTGTCTGGGTTGCACATTTATTTTAAGCTGCTTGGAAATGGAACACAGTGCCTTTCTAGAGGATGAATTGGTAAGGTCATGTTTGAGATAAGTTTTCTTTTCAGGTGTGATTCCTCATTAGAAATGACTTTTTGTCCGGTTCTGCAGATATTTGCCTCTGAACTGCTCTAGCACCTGATGTCTTTGGTATGTTTATGAACTTAATGCCTTTTATTTCTCCTTATTAAATCTGAAAGAGTTGTGCCTGTTGATCAGTGTTACGAGGTTGCTCTTTTTTTAACCCAGAAATCTCCGGACGCTCCAAACAAACCGGACACTGCTGCCACATTTCTGTTGTCTGAAAATGCTCTGGCAAGACATTTTATAATGGCATTCTTCCAAGTGATAGGAGCAGTTAACGGATTGCTAACACATGCTCCCGGTTAACCTACAAAATAAGTCATGTCATGGATGAAATGCTTGAAAAGGCATTAAACATTGCGTGCTTCTATTTTATATAGAAATACTAGTTAATTTCACCTTGCCAACTGGTCATGTAACCTTCTTGCTGATTCTGAATGTAGGGCAGTGGGTGTTATTTCCTGCTGTGCCTTTATCTCTGCATCTAACTAGCAACTTTATTTGCCAGCTGCCTAAAATACTCCAAATATTTGAAGCAGCTCAGTGTTTTGCTAACATGGTACACAATTGCATACAGGTTGGCAGGAGAAGAAGGAACGATCACATAATATTACCGGTGAGAAATTTTCACTCAAACATTGTCCTGTATGTCAACATGAGTGAACACAGTGGAGGGGGAAACAAGGGAACTATATCTTGAGGTTGCTAGTGGGTTTGAATTTAGGCTCCTTTTGTGCGTGTATGGTGCTAGAGTAGGGAGCTTATAAAATGTCCTTTTGAATTTCAGGCTGGTGATGTTAATGGAGACAGTCCAGGTTTAACAGATGAGGTCAGGCCCTAGTGAGGTTGTTTGTGTATGAATGATTGGGTACATTAAATGGCTGTATATGCAATATACATTTGCCTGTGGGAAAGTACAGTATGTGTGCGTAATGCATTTAAAGTGGAGCTCTAGGTATTTGTACACAGGTGCACAGAATGGATGCTTATGTGCGCGTATGTACGTATTCTACTTATAAAGTTGATGTTGTCCTCATCGGCCCTTGCTGTAGCCGGGAAAGAACTGGTCGAGCAGCACCTGAAGCGTCGAGTTTTGGGTCATCACGTAGTCTGTGCCCAAGTCTTGACGGCAGGAGGGGCAGGTGTACACCTCCGCTCTGAACGACCGCTGTAGACAAGTCTGAGGAGAGAAGAGGGCAGCAACAATTCACATATACATTTAAGGACGGGGGTTTAGAGATGTGGTGGTTACAAATGCATCCAGTCTGCACCCACCTTGCAAACACTGTGTGTGCAGACAGTGGTGATGGGTTGGAAAGCCAGCTCCTGGCAGCACACACACATGAAGATCTGCTCCATCTTCTTCAGGAAATTCTATACATTTGCAAAGACAGAAGAATAGTGAATGAGGAAGGGGTAAAAAGGAAGGAAATACACACAGAAGGAAATATATAACAGTAGAAAGATAGCGAATTAGCGGAACAGCTGCAGAGCCACGAATCTGCGATGTCACTTTGTTCTGGTGAGATGCTGATATGGTTCTGACTCTTCAGAATGACTGCTAACAACACACTTTCTGCCGGTACAACGTAACTACAGACCAAGTTGATTATCTCCCTCCATCTGCCCTGATATTGCTTCCCTTAAACAATACAAAGTTATAAACAATGACAGAAATGGTTATCTTAATTTGATTTGGAATTTAAGATCTGTAGACTAAGGGGAATCATTCCATTTCCATGGTCAGAGTGTACTGGGATTCCTACCGGTCCCTCTGTAAGGTGTTCCATGGCTTCATCCCAGTTCTTCTTGTTGGCTGTGTCCTCCCGGATTAACTGCTTCTGCTGCTCAGACAGCTGGAACATTTCCTCCATCTTCACCCTCTTAGAGAGAGGCTCTGCCGCTGGTGATGATTCTGGTATAAATCGACAAACAACATTGAAAAATACAGATATTCTTGGAGAATAAAAAAAAAGTATTCAAAATGAAGTCTACAATAGTGCTATCTTGTGGTAAAGATATTAAGATTCTCTTAAAATAAGTGTTACTGCTCACGCTGTTCTCAGCTGTCCTCTTCTCACAACACCTTGTCTGACCTGCTTTGAGATTATTTTGTAAAATCACCCACCAATTTCTCTGGTTGTCTTCTTCTCTCCATTACTCTGTGGCTCCTCTTCATCCGTGCTGGCAATTGGCTTTCCGTACTCCTCATCGTCGTCGACATTCTCTTCTTTCTCCTTGATCTTACGTCTCCGTGGTCTCCCCCTCCCGGGATAGTGCTTGCCCCGGCCGCCCCGGCCGCCGCGACCGGGTCTGGCACAGGCCTCTTTCTTTGTTTTGTTAGCCATGGCAGACAAGTAGCCGGGCGGGTACTGCAGACAATGACTTAGTAAACACTTGATAAACATACTAGATGCAAAATGTACAGTATTTTAATGAGACATTTAAAGCAAAGATATGTATAGGTGGATATCTGAAGTTCACATACAGATGCACTTGCAGTCTCACCTGAACAGCAAGGTCCAGTTTTGTGATCCTCTCCAGTCCTTCAGGTGTCCACGGTGCTGGTTCCAGATCGTCCCGTCTCAGCAGGTACCGCCATACCAGGTAACCACACTTTCCAATCTCTGGCCAGTATTTTACCACCTAAAATTCGTATATAAACCAGTGTAACATTAAATACTGCCATGCTTCCCTATATTTCCTACCTGTTACTATGACATTGGCCACAGCCCATATTTGTAAGGAACTATTTGTATGTGACGCGGCTCTATTTGAGGCTAGCAGACCTCTCAGAAGAACAACTACATGTGAGCCTGTACCTTGTAAATACCATCGTAGCGGTTTCCCTCCTCAGGAGCGTATTTGCTGATGCGTCGACCTTTAGAACTGCGCACCACTCTCACCGGCTTTCCGGCCCGCCAGTTCCTGGACTCTGCCCCGTCTTTGTCGTTCAGCGGTGCATCACAGTTTGCAGCCAACGCCCTGCAGGAGTCACCATCAAAGAGTTATACTCAAAACACAATGATTTTCAAGTCTGACTAGGGATTAGGGATGGTAATAAATGATCAGTTAATGATTGATTTGATCAAGTTCATCACTAAAGCTTATCTATCTTTAGTAGTCTTTAAAAAAAAAAATCTTTCTTTGTAGTCCTCTTTAAGTGTTGTACCTGTTCATGTGGGTCAGGGTCTGGTCAAAAGAGTGCTCTCCAATCCGTTTGTTGCCTGAGAGGTCACGACCCCCGCTGCCGGTGTAGGTGAACTCATCCCCCCGATCCTACAGACAAGATATAGAAGACATAATGAGGTGATCAGAAAATCACCTAATGCATACATGACTCAGTAAACTAAAAAACAACAATGCAAACAACAACATAATAGATATTAAAAAAAAATGTTGGTTAAACCCACCACTTCATCCTCAAAGCCCCCAGCCAACACAAGCGAATAGGAACCATCGTTACTGCGCCCATGGATACCACCAACATGCGGCCTGTGAACACCTGCCTCACTCACCTGGACAGAGAGAAAGAGAAATGCACGAAAGAGCAGAGGAGAGCCATTCATGATACTGTATAAGCAGTGAAATAACAGATAGTATATTACCAAAAATAAAGCATTACAACAATCCTTAATGCCATATTATTGACCAATAAGTAAATAAGATGAGACATGGTTGACTCTTCAATTTTCTTTCAGTTTTTAATCAATTCTCAAAGTAAACCCACTTCATTTATGATGCACTGTAAAACATGGCTAACCTGAACTCTGAATTTCCAGGTGGTTCCAACAGGAACACCAGGTATGGGTCCATAATGGTTTGAAGGAACAATTGTGCACTCCTTAGTACGCCCCACACAGGCCATACCCTGGAATTACATCAAGAAAAACAAAAAAGAATGTTAACTGCATGCAAAGAAATACCATTAAATGTCTCCACATCACACTTAAATACTGTTTGAGCATAACTGCTGATGGGTTTTTACCAGAAATCATCAGATTCACATTTAAGAGGCAAACTGGATTTTAAAAGTAAGAAGACTAAGAAAAGTATTTTGTTTCAAGGGTTATAACATTGCAATAATAAGAAAAGCATGAATAAATGCTGTGTGACTCACAGAACTTTAATGTGACCAAACACACAAACCAGTCTGTTTTCAATTAGTCCACAGAGAAAGAGAGCATTCGGGTAAAGAAACTAGTTATTTTCCGTTGGCAGTTCCAGGAAAGTCATGCTTAATGGCATTGTTCACATTACACCAGGGAGACAGCCAGGCCAGGATAGGAAGGAGCCACACAATATCTCAAAGTGTTGCCATGAGAAGACTCCAAGGAGATTGTGAGGGGAAAAAAATTAAACAGTATGCTTTAAAAAAAAAACTATTTTAAATACATGTCATCTGTCCCCCTCGGTTTCATTTTCTGCCCCAGCAGCCAGCATGGGATGATTTAAGTGTTGCCATGTAAAAAATATAAATGTGATTTTAGCTTGATTAGTGATATGAGTCAACCGACATTATCAAAATCATGTATTTTATTTAAAGAGTAAGTAGATAACAGGTATTGTTGACTGGATCAAAAACCTCTGATCTTATTGTTTGATTCTAGAGAAAATGAATGTTTGGTGCTAAGGCAATATTGAAAACTCTTCACATTAAACAAGATATTTATCTCAGATTGAGAACAACACAACACGAAGCACAGAGAAGATTACTTGCTTCATTACTTTGCTACACAAGGTATTAAACACATACACTGAACAACAAACCTGTATGCAGGAAATGAAAGGGATAACATGTGTTTGATGCAGGAATAATGCACTGAATGAATGCTAATTAAAGAGTGGCTCACCCCAAGTGTTGCATACTCAAATAGCCATTCAGTACTAAAAAATGCTGTACCACTGAATACATTTGAGAGTGCCAGTTTCATATGCAAATGTAGCTTTGTAGTTATGTCATATGATTATTATCAGCAATCTGGTGGTTATGTAATACATTGAAAATTGTTAGCAGGGTAAATCTGATGGTGGAAAATCTGTCTTCTATCTCTGTGGAGCATTAGCATACTTTTGCCTATATATGCCCAATAAGGGAGCCGCATATTATTTTCTGTTCTAGAAATCACAGACCCTCCCTTAGACTTACGGTTTTTATACAGCCGCTGTCAGTTCATTGTGTGTGTGTGTGTGTGTGTGTGTGTGTGTGTGTGTGTGTGTGTGTGTGTGTGTGTGTGTGTGTGTGTGTGTGTGTGTGTGTGTGTGTGTGTGTGTGTGTGTGTGTGTGTGTGTGTGTGTGTGTGTGTTTGTCCCCTCTCGGGTCTTACCTTTCCCCAGTCCCTTTGACTCTCAGTTGTCGCCGAAGGCATTTTGGCTTTTTTCTTGCTGGCTTTGAGCTTCTCGCCTGCCTTAACAACCTCACTGGTGTCGTTCTTACAGGTGGGACAGTACCTGGCAGAATGAGAGGCAGTCGTGTGTGTGAGTAAAAGAGTTTGATAACAGCAGCAACAAAGCCCAAAATTAACCAGAAGGCAAAGACTGACATCTTTCAACGCCCTAAAGAGAGATGTTGCAACAACTACATTTTTGTATTCAGTGAATATCAGAAGGTTGGAGACAGAGGTGGTTGAGTAATGCTGTTGGTCGATTTCATCTTTAACTTTTTGTTGTTTGAGTTCCATTCAGTAATACACGAGGCATTAAGTATGAGGACGAGGATCCTTCTCTCCATAACTGTCAAAATATAAAAAGAATATTCTCACCCTCATCTACACTGCATTAAACAAACTCACACCTGCATTATGTCATTATTTTAAATTGATTTAAACCTCAATCACCCCTTAATTACTGCCTAAATGCACTTCAGCGTGTACTGAACACCATTAATCAGCATTGTTAAATTGATTGAAGTGGTGGATGTTGTGGCTAATTGTGGCGCTACGCTCTCTCTCACCAGTCCTCGTCATCTGGGATGGTGCCCAGCGGCGGGTTGAGGCAGTAGATGTGGAACGCCATGTTGCACTCGTCACACAGCAGCTGCATGTGAGCATCCTGCTTCCCGCCGCACACACAGCAGGAGCAGAAGCGACACTCTGCCTCAGGGTCAGCCTTGCAGTGCTTACACTCTGGCCCACTCTTCCCTGGAGGAGGAAACATTCATACACATGCACACGTGTTTGAAGATGTTCTTTTGCTATGGTCGCGGGCATGTTTTGTCACCTTTTTCACAGTGTGTTTGTATATGTGTGTGCAGTCTGTTGCATACGTTTAAATTGTCCGTCTGAAGCTGAGAGTGCAGGAGCTCCTGGTCTCTCCAACTGGTAGATTTCATCCAGAAAATGAACTTTACAATCCACGATTATATCTCCAGAACCCCTGAAGGCAGGGCAAAACAAATAAAAGGATGGGAGAGAAAGCACAAGGAAATAAAACCAGAAGGGAAGATGAAGACTTTTGACTGAGTACAGATTAAAGGATCATCTTGAGGAGCAAAAAAAGATTGTGGACCAAGCAGATATTCTAATAAAGATAAACGACTATCCCCATAACCTCCCACCTAGGAAGGAAGATCCTCACCCCAGGAGGATCTTGACTCGGAGCTCTTTGTTGGTGCGGGAGGGTTGGTTAAGGGCCTGAACCTCGGCATCAAACCAGAAGCCCCTCTCCTCTGGCGTCTCCATGTTGTAGTTGACCATCACCCGCATGCCCACCTGCAGCTGGTCCCACCGCAGCAGAGTCCTGGCACGGGGTCGCACATCCACCGGCCGTATCTCCACCACCCCGTTCTCTGGGTAGCTGGAGAAAGAAAGGGGGAGAAGGAAAGGAGTGAGAAATCTGCCTGCTATCATCACCTTGATTTTCACACTCCTGTCTTATTAGTCAATCAGAGGTTAATGGTTACAGACACTTTCTTTTCTTCAAAGATCAGATTTCTGTACATATTTAATGTGCATTTCATGAAAGTCACATTCTTTGATTAAAAGTGTTCACTTCTTATACATTAGCTGCATTCGCGACAGTTCGGAAGAGTTTAACCTTGGAAACAGGGTTCAACAGTGTAAAAATCATTCCCAGCAGAAAGCAGCCGTTCAGAACAGTGTTTGGTAAAAAGATGGATATGAATAGAAACTATTTACCAGCTCAATGCATTGAGAGATTCACAATCTGTCCAGTTAAGCAATACAAGCCTTTGTGCAGTCTGCTGAGCCTACACAAGCCACTACAGGCAAACACTGTCATGCATTTGGACTTTTTACAGAAAGCCAAATGCTGATTATAGGAATAAAGTCATGATTAGAGGCATTTTCTTATTTTAGCAAATTATTTAAATTACACAAATGATTTAACTATCCTTGTACATTCTGTATATATAAAAAGAAATGGCTTTACATACTATAAAGGCAATTCCACACAACAACTTCCTGACTGTGGTTTTGGAGCAAAGGATTATAAAGGATATTAACTGCTATTGCCTCCCTGTAAATCTACACAGAAAATAATCTAATTACAGCAGCCTTACAGCTCTAGTGACTTTTCTAGTCAAACAATCTTTTAATCAGTCTTTTAAAAGTTATAGTCAGAAATCAGTCATTCATTCTTATGTTAAATTATGAATATTCAGGATATCTGGACTGGAGCCGCTGTTTGAAGGGACAGAACATGGCACTACATTATATTCAGGAATATTGTTTCTGCTCACTTAACACAGTCAAATGTTTATGAAAACTACAGGCATGAGATTCCTACATCCTGAGTATGAGTGAGTAAAGATTTGAGGTGAGTAAAGATAACAACAGCCTTGTTAAGCTTCTTTTGTAAAAGCCTCATGTGTCTTAAAGGTTTACTTTTCAGTTTTAAATAGGTTTTACGGTTAGGGTATATAGGGTAAGGATTAAAAAAACAACACGTTACCCAACAACATTTGATTGCCAGCTTTACATAAGGAATAGTTTGATGGCTGTTTGCCTTTGAACAACAATGCAATTCTCGTCTTAATGTCGTTGTTAGTTTGCCAGGCAACCAATAGAGAATGCAGAAAGTTATTGCACCCGTCCAAGAATTTGTCTGGCACAGTAAACCCCAACATGATGTTTTTATACCTCGGTGTTGGCACAGATTAAACAAAAGAGTGAGCTTTGGAGGTGCTAGTAAACAGATTTAGCTACATTATCACAGAGCCAAACTAAAGCTGTATGCTCAAAGTTAGCCTTTAGCCCTTGTTCTCATCTATGTGCCATGCTAAGCTACCTAGCTTTATATTTCCCATACAGCCACTAAGATTTGATTGAACTCAGAAGTCTTAACTCAAAGACTCAACAAACAAATTCCTAAATGTTTTTTAAACTGTGATAAGGTTTTTTATTTGTAATGTCCATAAAGAAAATTAGTAGCCAATCTTGTTTAACTCAAAAATGTTTCTCCTTCTGCCATAAGTATGAAAAGTATTCTTGTGTGCCAAAACATGGAGATGTGGAAGATGAGGTTAATCGTGCTGGGTTCCTGCCTGCCAATCATCATTAACTGTTAGGATCAGGCCTGACTCACAGATTAATTAACAGCTTGCCTGCGTGCCAATAACTGGAATTATGCTTACATGAGTACAATGTGTTGGCAGAGAAGTTTTACTGCACAACAGCCTGCACGCTCAGGGCCGCTTACACAGTGGGAGGTGGAATGGGAAGTTGAGAAACGTGTGCAAACTGTGTTTTTCAGGGAAAGTTGAGTCTAAACGTGGTACTTTGGGAGTCTGAACCGATGAAACAAATTAATTAACCAAAATCCCAAACATTTAAGATGTCAATCAGTCCAGAAATGCCCTACTCAAGCTTTACTTTCTTACTAACAAGACCATGCTGCATGTTTTAAGCCATTGCAAATCGAGGAGAGGTCCTACAGAGGCAGACTGTAAGAGTAGCGCAAAGCTAGCGTTCTCCCAGGAAGAGGAGGCCGGGACACAGTGTGGGGATTTCCTTTTTTAGGCCCAAGGGATTACTGCAGTTTTGGGTTTAGGGTAAGGGGGGGAGAATACAAGCAACACAAATGTACACAGACACACACCAATATGGACATGTGTACACACTGAAACACACACACAGCGGAGAGGAATATCAACCTTGGAGCACAATGGGACTCGGCATGAACAGAAGGAGAACACGGTGCAACACAAGAGGAGCAGAAGTACCCGAGTTTAAGACCACACGAGCTCACACTGTCTGTACTGTTGAACACTGGCCCTGCTCCAAACCCATGACAATTCACCAACTGAGGCACCAGATTAATTAGGAATTACATAAAATATCAATTTGCAAATGGAAACATCTTACATACTTCTTTTTTTGAAACGCAATACAGTGTTTTCCTCCTTAGAACGGCTAGTTATTGCACCAGCAGATATCAAACAAGCAAAATAAGAATCTGTGCTGTGAGTCTGGAGGAATAAAGTCGAACATTTGAGGTACGAGGGTTAAACAAGAAACCAAAAATCACATCAAGACTCTTATCAATGCATAGTTTACCTATATAGAATGTTGAAACCTTTTTAATCAGTAGGGAAATTGAGAAAACATGACTGATCTACAGACGAGCTCTTTTCCCTCAGTTTTTCTGTTATGAACCCATCATTAGCGTTTTGTGTGCTTAGCTGAGGTCCCTGTAAAGGGGGAGACAGGCAACGGAGAAAATGAGAAATCCTCAATTTGCTGATAAGCTGCCGGGTTAGAAATGCTCTGACACTAAACAAGCTGAGTATAATTGCTTCAACAGTAGGGAGGGGAAGTGTCTGCATGCAGGCTCTCTCAACCTCGGCTTTGTTAGTAATTGAGGGCAAAATGGGAGGCTGTGACTCTTTCATAAATATATATCTTAATTTAGTGAATGTTAGGATGAGACATTTTTAAGTTAAGTCACGAGAAAGACATCAAAAGACAACTTCAGGTATTAAAAAGAGCCACTTTAGAGATTGTAAACATGAATCCTATTATCCTAATGTGACATTTTACTTCTTACCTCAAGTTGTAGTAGCATATATAATGAGGGATAACACTACAGCTTGACAAATATGGGATTATTGAAGCTCATACAGATATCAAACTGTGATGCTGAAAAAGTTCTGATAAAGAGTCTGATAAATATATGTACAGTTGTGAATTAAGCTGTGTATGTAATAAGACATGGTCTTACACAGTCGTTACATGTAGCAATCATGTGATCTCAATTGTGACCGGTAAAAATGTCCTTTGTGAAAAAGCCCTTAAAAACACCATGTCAAGGATTACAGTCACAGTGAACATGACCCTATTCCAAAATGCATAATATCTGGTCACACCAATATAATTGTATAAGGCACATTTTTGACAGCCAGCATTTTGGTACCCAACAATCATACAATAACTGTCTAGAAATTGTGATGGAGAGTGGGCGAGTGAGAAAGAGAAACTTATATGAAACTTCAATTGGACCTAATTTCATCCTCATTTCAATGTCACTTACATAATTGGAATCGCAGCAAAAAAAGCTCTCTGAAAAGCACTCAGATATCAGCCACGTTCTAACAACTGACACAGCTTTAGATGGTGCTGGTAAGATCTCTTCCACGGCTACGTTGATCCTGAACAATTAGCAGACAGAGCCCATTTAAGAAGAACGTAAGCCTCTCTTTTAAGAAAAAGCCCAAAACACAAATTTTACTTTAAATAGCTTAAATGACATTATAAAAAAAAACGATCACAAGGTGCAGTGATTAAGATAGCAATAACCCATTATTCACAAAAAGCTAAAGGGGTTACTAAGAGCATTTACAATGGCTCTATTATATTCAGTGGTTCCAGTAAACAAGGGCAGTGTTACAGTGAGCCATGAACAACACAGTAACTCAATTTAATTAAGTTCTAGCTTCACTATTTACACAGGGGCTTTTCCTACAGACATGTACAATTGACCTCCATTGTGCCAACAGTCTACAATGCTGCTGCAGATTCTGAAAGCTCATCTGGGACTAATCCTCTCGTCTAGTCACTAAGGTTGAATGACGAGAGCAAAATATATATATATATATATTAGGGCCGGGACGCGATTAAAAAAATTAATCTAATTAATTACAGGCTTTGTAATTAATTAATCGCAATTAATCGCATTTTTAATCGCATATAAATATTTGACCTGAGAACAGTGAGAAGCCATTTTTTTCACATGGATTTTAGTATACCATTGAATAATGACTGAATACATAAGCTTAAGCAACAAAACATTGTTTATTTTTTTCAAGGCTATACTTAACAAAGACCAACAGAAAAGTGAAATTTTTGCCATAAAGTGTAGCAATAGCATATTTAGGAATACAGTACATTTCAGAGATTCAGGTAGTACCTGAATCTCTGAAATGTACTGTATTCCTAAATATGCTATTGCTACACTTTATGGCAAAAATTTCACTTTTCTGTTGGTCTTTGTTAAGTATAGCCTNAACAAAATCATATAAGTACATCAGGTTTCATAGAGCCAAACATTTCAAGTGCTACTCAACTGGCTATAGATAAGCCAGCCCTTTATTAGTATATAAGTGCCTTGTTAGTAATTCTATCTCTCGAAGTGGAGTCGAAAGAGAGGAGTTTTCAGTCTGCGCCGGAAGATGTGTAAGCTTTCTGCTGTCCTGATTTCAATGGGGAGCTCATTCCACCATTTTGGAGCCAGGATAGCAAACCCACGTGTTTTTGCTGATGGGAACTTGGGTCCCCCTCGCAGTGTGGGTGCAGCGAGCTGTTTGGCTGATGCAGAGCGGAGTGCACGTGCTGGGGTGT